CCCCCCCAGCACCACAGGCCTCCCCCCTCCCCGCCCCCAGCACCACAGGTCTCCCCTCCCCCTGAGGAGGGAGTGAGAAGACAGCCATCACTTCTCAACGCTTGGCTGAAGGAAATTTACCAAGTGGAACCAGGGGACTCAAAGGAGTTCATGTGCTTTTTCCAAAGACAGCCTGAAGGCACCTAAACCAAAAATAGACGTGGTGCAGGGGGGAGGGGGTGTTGGGTAATTTATGAAGAGAAAACTGTGGCTCGCTTCAACTCTACCCTCACACCCCCACCTGTACACGCTGTCCCTATCTTCTTGCGAGCTTGAGCATGTCTGTCGGGGTGTAAGGTGAGCCCTCAAAAGCTAATCTCCACGGGCAATCAAGCAGAGAAGCAGGGCCAACAAGCTTGCCAACGGGAGAAAGATGATTTCTTCATGCTCTGGGATCTGAGTTCCCTCTTGTGATACCTAGCCAGAGAAACTACAAGCAAAACTGGAAAGGATTGCCTTCACCCAAACTTTCAAAATCTGCAACTCCCGCCTGTCCCCTCCCTTGCCCGCTGGTGCAGAGAGGACTCCATGACATCAGTTCTCTGAGAACCCCAGGGGATGTGGAATCCGTGTAGACCTCTGAGAACTCAGTGTGCACCCTAGGGGTGAGCGCTGGTCACCTGAGACAGTGAGGATGACCAACAGGAGACAGTCCCCACTGGAGGCCAGACTTGGTAATCCCGCAGAGCTCTGCCCATTGCTGAAGGACAGCGGGGCAAGAGAGGAAGGACCGGCGGCCAGGTGACAGTGGACATGTCACAACCATGAACCTGAGTGTTGGGGTCCCTGGACGTGCCCGGAGACAACTGGAGTTGAAGATATTCAAAGACTGCAGCTGTGCAAGAAGACACGACAAGGTGACTAAGAACCAGCTGTGAGGGAAGCGGACTCACTCCCGAGACTCCAGGCGTGTGAATACTATGCACAGACAAAACCAACCCTGCCTACTGCAGTCAAAGAGACAGTTAAGGGACTCAAACCATAAAAAGTTCCACGCGGTTCATAGTAAGAACCCCAAAATCTTTCAGATGGGAGAAGTGTCATAACTAAAATGACAGACCAAAGGGATGGTTTTTACTACACCTTGAGCACAGCTGAGGAGAGAAACTGCTGAAATTTAAGCAGATAAAAACGAAGCTTACAGGCATGGAGGGGCGAGCAGGAAGGGGCAGGTGAAGCAGGAAGCTGGAGACTAGAGGGCAGCAGAATACACAGGGCGCACTTAGTGTACATTGAGTATCAGGAGAGAGAGAGATACAGAAGACAGGGTGATGTGCAATGTTGGGAAGAAGGAAGGAAAACCCCACCGCAACTTGAGTAAAATAAGAGAGAAAGAGAGATTTTCTTAAAGAAGCTCTCTGACTTCTGAAAGCCATTCAAAAGTAAATGGCACTTTACGTTTGAAAAAACAAAACAAAACAAAACTAGGCCCTTTGTCCCTGAAAACTATCCTTCCAGGATGAACAGGTGGGAACTGGGAAGGCAGTTCATTCAGAACCGTGCTTGGCTCAGTGACCTGAGTGACCCCAGAGCCCTGGTTTTTGTTTGTTTGTTGTTGTTGTTTAAAAGAAAGAAAGAAAAGAAAAGAAAAGCCAGGTGTGGTGGCAGGCCAGGCATTTGTAATCCCAGCACAAGGGATGTAGGGACAGGCAGTTCCCTGGCATTCACTGGCCAGTGAGAGACACCATCTCAATAAATACAAGTGAAGTTTAAAAGGTAGAAGATGCCTAAAAATGACACCTGAGGTTACATCAGGCCTACACACGCGCGCGCACACATGCACACAATGAAGGTGAAATGCAGACACCTAGAACAAGAAAACCCCACCAAACCACAAAAGTGTTCTCCACCAGCAGATGAGAGGAGGGGAGGGCATGGGTCGTCACGTGTGTGGAAGATAGGAAGTACAAAAGAGAAATGTGAGCTGAAGCGATGCTGATATCGTTGTGTGTTGAGGTGACTGGGCTGTGTGCCATCAGAATAGAAGCATGTATGGCACCACCCAGGCCTAAGCGCTGACGTCACAGGAGAAATGGACTGCGGGGGCATTGAACAAACCTCCAAGAACCGAGAGGGACCACCTGCCACTGGACACTGAGAAGCCCCCGTGGCCACTGACCAGAAAGGGCATGCCATGTCCAGGGAGACTCAGTAAAGTGATCCAGTTTGTAGATATGAGCCAGGGTGGACACTCAGGGAACAATCCCCGTTGTGGGTGCTGGTTCACGTTGCCAGGGTGAGCCCAGGTGAGAACACTCCAGGGTCTGTTTGTTTACCATGGCTTAATAATCACCCAGTCTCCATAGCAACCGATGAAGACATGGCACAGGAAGACAGTTCTGTTCTGTGCTATAAGAAGGAGGTGGACTGGGGCAGGGTAGCAGTGGTGGCCTGGCGTACAGTGGAGGTGTGTTAGAGACAGCCCAGCTGCCCTGGGCACAAAGTCTGGGGCAAGGAATCAAGGATTACTGAGACACTCCGGTTTCTTACCTGCCGGGGGTGGGGGGATGGGAGGGTAGGGGTAGGGAGGGCGGCAGAAAAGAGCATTTTGAAACAAAATGGGACAAGAGTGAGGAGAATGTCAACTTAAAATCCCAAGGTTCAATGCTTCAATTGGCCATGCCTGTGAGAACCCCAAGTGACTGATCTAGATACAAATACTGGAATTATTGGCACATTATGATGCTATTTCAAGCCACAGATATGGATAGGATTGTGCTACAAGAACATGTGTAGACACTTCTTAAATATGCATAATTAAAGAGAAGAAAATAAAAGTTACGTGTAATCTATCAAGTTAGCACACAACAGAGGGTATAGGATGGACCTGGAATGGATTATAATAAGTGAAAGGACCCTGTCTCAGACAAACATGCAGATCTCAATGTTATTAACTGGGTATAGATTATAAGACTAGGGTGGGGACCCTAAGAGGGAACAAGAGATGCTGAGAAAGTTGGGGGGGGCGCGGTCGTCCCATGAGACGTGGAAATGAGATACTGGGGGGGGGTAGGAGAGTTCAGGGAAGGAAGAGAGGTGGGGAAGAAAAAAGTGAGAAAAAATAACTGTTGTTTGAAAATGCCATAACTGAACCTAACTCTTTGTAAGCTAACAAAACTATTTTTAATAAAAAAGACACATATAGGCCTTGTAAAATTAATTACTTACATGTAAGTAAGTGTACCCCGTGGCCGGAGGGTAGTGAGATAACAAAAGGATGGTCCTACCTGGGGTCCCCTTGGTTCTCTTGACCCTCTGTTCTTCCTCCTCACTGTTCAAGGTAGCAGCCAGACCACTAGACACCCAGTGTCCCAGTGGGGGGGGGGGGCAGTGCATAGTAACGGTCTCTCCTGGCGTTTCAGTATCTAAGGGACAAAGAAAGGACCAAGAGTCTTCTGAGATGACAGATTTGGTTGTGAGCCTAGCCTTTAACGGCTGAGCCATCTCTCCAGCCCTGCACCCCACCCCAGGCCAGCTATGGAGCAGATAACCTTGCACAATCCAACAGTTGGGGCTCCACAGGTTTTTGCCTGGGGTTATAATTTGTCTCTAAAATGTCTTCCACAGGGTCATGCTTTTAACAGTCATCCCTAGCTTGTGGAACCATTTTTGGAGTCTCTGGAGCCTTTAGGAAGTGGGCCCTGGCTGGTGGGGGTAGATCCCCTAGGGTGGGCTTTTAAAGGTTTACAGAGTTCTCTGTATCTTAATTGGCCATGGCATGAACACTGCTCTGTCATAGACTCTCCTCACTCGTTTCTGTTGGGTATTTGGTCACAGCAGACACTCAGGTAAACACCTGAGAAGGCCCAGCCCTCAGAAGAGGTGAGATGGCCAGGCACCAGGTGAAGCAGCCTTGACTTCCTCTGGGGGTCAGAAGCAGTGCCAGGCTCTCGTGGACCAAGTATAGAGAGAGCCAGGGACACAGGAGCTGAGCTGTCACTCAAGCTCTTCCAGCAGAGGATGCATTTTTGGTGACTTGTGTGGACCGACACCACTGGACATCAGCGAGACAGGTCTTGGCATTTCCAAGTCCCCTGGAATGTGTATATATGCCTAGGAAAAACAAGAGACCCAGAAGATGGAAAAATGGAGGCTCAAAGTAGGAGTCAAATTCATCTAGAGAATAAACCAAGCTGTATTCTTTGTGATCTATACCTGAATAAATTCCTAGAAAAAAAATAAATTTTTCAGGGATGATGGAGATTCTTCTGCATAGAAGAACAGGAGCACGCAAAAGTGAAAACATACCATCTCTAAGTGTTCACAATACACTGTCCTTAAAGGGTAAAGTACAGAGGAAGAGAGAGAGGAAGAGAACCAGGGGTCAATAGAGGTAGGACTAGTCAGTGTCTTCTCAAACAGTACTGAGAACATGCTGAAGATACAGCTCCCACGAAAGAATGCTGATGCTTGCCACTGCCAGCAGGCCTGAGGTCCGCAGCACACTAAGTCCCTCAGAGGGAGAGCTCAGCACACCACATCCCAGGATGGATCTCCAGGCTCCTGTATCTCTAAGGGGTACCATTTTCCCACTGGGAGATGATCATCCACCTACATGGCACTCAGAGTGAGGTCATGAGATGAGATGGTCTTTTCCGGTCCTGCCCATCTAGCTCTTCTTGTGCCTTCTATCTTGCCTCAGTCTTGTCACGTCTCAGTCCATCACGTCTCAGTCCATCATGTCCCAGTCAGTCATGCTTTGGCTGAGGTCACAGACACATGAGGCTCAGGCTCCAAGCCTCATCAGCCATGGCTCTTCCATTATCTGTATGTCTATCAGGGCAGAGACCATGCTAGTGAGATGTCAACCCCACCCCCATTCCAGACTCACTGATAGCTACTGACTTCCACTCTGTGTATTTTCATAAATGTTAACTCTTCAGACCTTTTTTGTCCTTTAAGACAGGAATCTAACCCCTCACAGGTAAGAGTTGCAGGCAGAACAATGGCCTCCGAAGATATCCACACCTTGATCCCCATAGCCTGCGATCATTACCTTCTCTACCATGTCTCTTGCAGATGTGGTTAAGCCAAAGATATTGAGAAGGATATATTCTAGAAGATGGTGTGGGATCGAAATACAGCCACATGCTTTTTATAAAGGAGGTGGCAAGCCAGGCATGGTAATCCAAGGCTATAATCCGAGGTACTCGGGAGACTGAAGCAGCAGGATTTCTTGGACCCAGGAGCTTGGAGACCAGTCTGGGGAAAGCAGCTGGATCACATACCAAAAATTAAATAAAACCCAGAAAGAGATTTTACAGGAAAGACGGCGATGGGTCAAGATGCTGTACCATTGGCCAGGAGCACGGAAGAAGAGACCCTCCACTAAGGAATGTAGCATCAAGACTGGAGAGATGGGTCTGCGGTTAGAGCGCTTGCTGCTCCTTCAGAGGACCCGAGTTCAGTGCCCAGCACCCCTGCCAGGTGGCTCACAAACACCCATAACCACAGCTCCAGGAGCTCTGACACCCTCTTCTGGCTTCTCCAGGCACTCACGTACACATGTGTACATATACATACACAAATAACAGTAATTTTAATTATTAAGAAATACAGCATCAGATGGAAGGCAAGGAAACTTTTCTCCCAGGAGCCCTCAGAGAAGCTGTAGCTCAGGCAATATTTGATTTTTGAATCAATAAAATTGATTTGAACTTATGACCTCCAGAATGAAAAACAAAAAAAGATAGCTGTGTGCTGTGTTAAGTCAACAAGTTCATGGGAGTCCATTACAACAGCACATTAAACTAATAAAATGAGTAAACACAAACGTTCCTGGCTTGCTGCAAGTCACCCAGCAGGTAAAGCACACGCCCTCCATCTGATCCGAAGCCTCACTCTTCCTTGTACAGATGATGCCGATTCTAAGTCTCCAGCAATGTGGAGTTTCCATAGGGAAACAAACAGGTAAGCGCATGTGTGTGTGTGTGTGTGTGTGTGTGTGTGTGTGTGTCTGTGTCTGTGTGTGTCTGTGTGTGGGTGTGTGTGTGAAGTACACCCATCCCCCCAGCTCCCATAAGAAAACTAGGAAACACCTGGCCAGAAGCACTAAAGGTGCTTCTCGACTTAAATGTATCAGTTAACAGTGTTTTCATCTCAACAAATGCATGGTGAGATTAAACGCTGTAAACTGAAATTGCATTCGATGCCCCCAAGCTATAGAGCACCAGAGCTTAACAGCCAGCCCTGGGAGCTGCTCTCCCTGCGGCTGCACTTGAGACTTGTGCCACACTGCTGCCCTAGCATGGATTGTGAAGAACAAATTTAGACCGTTCCCTAGTGTCAAGCACAGCAAACTGAACCCGTGTAGGCAAGGGCCACTTGCAACTTTCTAAGGATGTCAGCGAGCTCGATTTCTGTGCATCTGTTTTCACTCTTCACTCTGCATTCAGTCGCGATCCTGCAGTATTGCTCTGTCCGTGTTCTGACTGGACCGAAGAGATGGAAAGAACACAAAGCCACCGTCCTTTGTCAGCCCGATTAATGACATGTCAGTAGACCGGCTACAACCAGGGCCTGCCCTGAAGGCCAGGTTCACTGGGAGCATTTCCCGAAAGCGAGGGATGGTGAGAGTGTCTCTCACGGAAGCTGGTCACTTTGATATCAGAGCCCATCGTTTGGGCCTTGCTCTCCCGGCACATATTAAATTTTCTCCTTCATTCTCAGGTCTGGAGAAAAAAAAAAGAAGTAAAAAACCCTAGAATGTAAGACATTTGACCCCAACATCAGTCTGAGCTTGGAGCGGCCAGGCATGGTTCAGATGCTGCCAGTTATGAGTCCAGTCTGATCAGTAGTTATATTTGAAAAAAAAGTATGTATTTTCTCTTTGGTTGTGGGCCTGGAGAGTTGGCTTAGCAGTTATGGGCACTTGTGGCTCTTACAGAGGCCTGGGGTTCAATTCCTAGCACACACTGGCAGTTCACAGCCATCTGTAACTCCAGTCCCAGAGAATCTGACACCCCATCTGATCACTGGAGACACCAGGCACACATGTGATACACATGCATACATGTAAGCAAAATATTCATGCACATAAATCTGTAGTGGTATTCTATTTGTACTGAAATGTGATTTTGATTATATGTTAATAAATAAAGTTGCCTGGGGGTCAAAGCTATTAGAGCCATAGCAAGAGCATGGCGGTGGTGGCACATGCCTTTAATCCCAGCACTTGGTAGGCTGTGTGTTCAGGGATACAGCCAGCATTGGAGACATACGCCTTTAAGACCTGGAGGGCTGTACTTACAGGCAGTGACGAGGCAGTCACATGTTTGGGTTTACAACCAATGAGAAGGCAGAACAGAAAGACTATATAAAGACAAACACACAGGAAGTAGGTCTGTTTCGGAGAGGTAGGTCCACCGCAGGAGGAAGGGTAAGGTTTTAGCTCTGAGCTCTGACCTCTTGGCTTTCTCTTTTACATTGGTTCTGTGTTTCTTAATTAGTAAGACGGTTGGTTACATCTACATAAATCTCTAAAAATAGTTTAAAAGATGGTTCCCACTATGTAACTCAAATTGGCTCCAGACTCCTAGCCTCCTGCCTCAGTCTCCTGAGTGCTGAGATTGTAAGCATACGCTATCATATCCAGCCAGCATCAGCTATGTTTTTAAAACCTCACTGGAAGGTTGTGCGCCAGCTCTCTGTAACTGTAACAAAGTACCTAAGACAACCAACTGGAAAGGAGGTAAGGGTTTCTGACTCATGGTTTTGAAGGTTTATGTCCACGTTGGTTGGCTCCATGGCTTGAAAGGTCTGGTGAGGTAGCACACCATGGAAGGAGCATGAAATGGAGGATGCTTACCTCATACCAGTGAGTAAGAGAGAGGAAGAGATGGGTACCCCACAGTCCTCAGATCAACCTACGACCTCCCGAGGCTCTGCCTTTAAAGGCTCCGTGAGTTTCAAAACAACAAAGAAAGAAACATGTGGGACTTTGGTAGACCTTCCAGGTGCAAAGTATTAAGAGTGTCTGGCCCTTTTACCTGAAGAAGGAATTTACTATAACGCCTGTCTGTATTGCTCGTGTGTGTGTGTGTGTGTGTGTGTGTGTGTGTGTGTGTGTGTGTGTGT